TGTTCACAGCATCCATGTGAGCTTCACTTGGTGCATGCATGAATTGGCTAACCACGCTTACTGCATATGCTATGTCAGGTCTAGTATGTGATAGATATATCAACTTACCCACAAGGCGTTGATATCTTTCTTTGTTGGTGGGAACTTGGTCAAGATATTCACCAAGTTTGTGATTTTCTTCCATCGGAGTCTCTGCTGGTTGGCAAGCTAGCATTCCTGTTTCAGTCAAAATGTCAAGGGTATACTTCCGCTGTGAGAGAAATATTGCATGTTTCGAGCGAGCTACTTCAATACCCGAAAAATACTTTAGAGCACCGAGATCCTTCATCTCAAACTCAGTCTCTAAATGACGTTGTAATGCTGTCTTTTCTTCAGGATCATTCCCGGTAACCACCATGTCATCAACATACACAATAAGGGTTGTGACCTTACCTTTCCTATGTTTCAAGAAAAGGGTATGATCCGAGTTACTTTGTTTGTAGCCGAAATTCTTCATTGATTTGCTGAACCTCCCAAATTATGCTCTTGGTGATTGTTTCAATCCATAAAGAGATTTTCTCAGCTTACATACCATATTGATCCGATTTAACACCTTCTTACATCCTGGAGGGGGATCCATATAGACTTCTTCTTCTAAGTCTCCATGTAAGAAAGCATTTTTTACATCGAACTAATATAATGGCCAGTCCATGTTTGCTGCTAAAGATAAAAGTACCCGAATAGTGTTAATCTTTGCAACTGGAGCGAAGGTTTCATCATAATCGATCCCATAAGTCTGAGTGTATCCTTTTGCCACCAATCTTGCTTTATATCGATCAATGGTACCATCTGCTTTGAATTTTACTGTATATATCCATTTGCAACCTACTGTTCTTTTTCCTTCAGGAAAGGTAGTAATTTTCCATGTGGAATTTTTTTGGAGAGCCTCCATTTCTTCATTCATTGCATGTGTCCATTTGGGGTCTTTCAGAGCTTCCTGCACATTACTTGGAATAGAAATAGTGGATAATTGACATGCAAATGATGCACATGACGAAGAGAGCCTATGTATAGACATGTAATTAGTGATAGGGTATTTAACATTTGCCTTAGGGTCAGGCTCATATTTTTGTATGGGAATCCCTCTAGTTGTGCGAGCGGGTAACTGATAACCTGTGTTTTCTGTGTGATTTGACTCAGTTAAAATGCTTGGGTTTGCATGCTTAGATACCTGTGGAGAATTTTCAGGGATGATTAGAGGTGGTACTACAGGAGAAGTTGGGAAAGTATCTTCAGTATTATCTGGAGTTACCAAGTTTTGAGTCTCTTGATCTTGTTGCATGGTAGTAGCTGGTGAATCAGTGGTTACTACATCGTTAAGTATTGTCACAGGTTGTTTAGTCTCTTTAGAAACTTGGATGATTTGATTCTGAGTGTCTCCCGCAAAGATAGAGTTCTCCCCCTGCGGAGGATGCTTAGAATCTTCCCCTGAGTAGTAGAATTCATCCTCAAGAAAAGTAACATCTGTAGTGACGTACCATGTCTGAGTAGGAGGATGGAAGCATTTATATCCCTTCTGAGTGTCTGTATATCCTAAAAAGACACAACGTAGTGCGCATGGATCGAGTTTGCTGCGTTGATGTGGATATACCTGAACATAGGCAACACAACCAAAGACTCGAGGTTCAAGGTTTGGTGTAGACGGTATAGTAAGAAGAGTGGTCAATGTCTGAAATGGAGTTTGATACTGGAGGGTGCTAGATGGTGTTCGATTAATCAGGTAAGCAGCAGAACAAAGTGCCTCTCCCCAAAAATAATGTGGCATGTGGGCATCAAATAAGGAAGCACGAACAACTTCCAAGAGGTGTCTATTCTTACGTTCTACCACACCATTTTGTTGTGGTGTATATGCACACCTTTGCCAAAATGCAAGTTTCACAATGAAAATCTGATTTAGTAAATTGAGAAAATAAATCAGGAAATAAAAGTTTCAGATAACCAAATGAGGTATGTCCTAAACGTCTATGCCACAGCCAAATCTTCTTCATCTGGACCGATGTATCTCCTCTTACAAGATGAGCTTCACTTAATCTTTTACTGCAATCTTTTGTTAAGTCCAGATAATACAACTTTCCCTTCCTAGTACCACATCCAATCACGATCCTGGTGTGAAGATCCTGGAAGAGACAATACAATGGCCAAAAGCACACAGTACAGTTAAGAGAGTCAATGATTTGAGAAACAGATAATAATTCATAGTCAAGTGACGGGACAACTAAGACATGATCTATATTTAATGACGGTGTAAGAGATAGGGAACCTTCTTCCAAAACTGGGGAGGTAGTTCCATTAGCAGTGGTAACATAAGTTTGGCTGGATGGTTTTTTTATGGAGTGTAACCCAGTAAAACTAGATGTCATGTGTTCAGTGGCACCACTGTCAATAATCCATGATCTATTACAAGTATGTGAAGATGTGCAAGAGGAAGTACCTGTGGTTACCAAGGCCTTGGAACTAGATGTACCTGATGAAGGTTCTGACATGTTTTCTTGAGATGATTCAGCAAATGAGGCTCTGCTTGAATCCTTCTTTCGCCCTTTGTGAACCCATCCTTCTGGATAACCAATGATCTCATAACAACCCTTAACAGTATGGTTGTCTAAACCACAGTGAGTACATTTCATTAGGGGTCGATTTCGAGTGGTATTTGATTTCTGAACGGATGGTTGAGGTTGCTTTATCCTTGCTGCAACTAAGGCCGATACTTCAGGTGTAGTGTTAGCTTCAGACATGGTTCCCTGTCGATTACTCTCTCTTTTGATATGTGCATAGATTGCCTCAAGTTCTGGTTTAGGTTCCATTATCAGAATTTTCCCTCGAATTTGATCAAAGTTGCTGTCTAATCCAGCAAGAAAAATATAAACTCGAAGACGATCAATCTCCTTCCGTCTGATTTCAATGTCTGATGGATGTGTCATTTTGCTTGGATTTAATTGGTCAAGTTCTTGGAAAATCTCAGTGAGTTCACTGTAGTAGTTGGCAACGGGTGCTCCATTTTGCCTCATGGTGAATGATTTTTTGTGTAGATCATAAATCATTGCCTCATCGGAACCATCAGAATATGTCTTCCTGATTGCATCCCAGACCTGCTCGGCTGTGTCATAATGGATAAATCGTTTCATCTGATTGGGTTGCATGGCATCAAATAACCAACTCTTGACTTGGCAATCTGATGCACGCCATTTATTGTATGTTGGATCTGTGGCTGTAGGTTGAGTTTTATCACCAGTCAAGTGACCATGTTTCTCTCGTCCAGCAATCTTCATCTTCATGACCTGATGCCATAGAGAATAATTATGTTCATCCAATTTGATTCCAATTGAGAAGTTGGAATTATCTCCTTGGATGGTGACAATCTGAGCGGGTTGGAATTATCTCCTTGGATGGTGACAATCTGAGCGGGTGAATTAAATTCACCAACATTTTGGGATGAATTTGATACTAAATCATTGGCTTTATCTTCTCCAATCATGATAGAGACTGTTGAGATAAAGAGCAGAATGAAAAAACAAAGTTGATTTCTGAAGCCTGCAGAAATTGGCTATGGTTAGGTCAAGAGGCAAAAATGATTTATGATTCTGATACCATGTTTGAATTGGAGAGAAAGAAAATAATATTTCTTCTTATTATTGAATATGCATTGAGACATATGTTATATAGAACAAACTAATGACTATACAAGGAAATATATTATTACAGAGAACAAATTAAGAGAATCCTATAATCTTGCATAATATGGATTGATTCTTTCCCTTTGAGGCTTAATACAGCTCATTTGACAATTATAATGTCAGAACTTATCAAATCCGACAACAAAAACATCATATCAACCAACAACAAATGAAAATAACCAAAAAGACCTTGCAAGCAATCGCAATTTTCGGCCTCTATACGGACAAATCAAGCCCGGAATCAATCAACTCAGCGCCCTCAGTATAATGCCCCTTAGCCCAGTTGTTTCCAGCGTCAGACTGTCCGAAAACGAAATTGTTCGGCCTAAAAATCTGTCCGAACAGGCCGGATTTGACAGAATCCATAGTATTCGGCTCAATATCCTTTAAAACAGCGCGGGGAACGTATCTCCCTCCGCTGGCCTCATTGTAATAAACATTAATTTGCTCGAGCTAGAGTTCGGTGTCGCCACTGTACTTTCCGATGTAGTCAATTCCGTGCTCATCGCAAATGACCTCCAAGAACTTGGAGCCGATCCGGTTGCCACATTGGCCTCCCTGAATGTGAAGGATTTCTCTCATTTTTTGTGCGTGTTTTGTATTTTTGAGAAATTAAGGAAGATTTCGGTTGTTTAAGATTTAGAATATTTTTTGTTGCTTCTGTCGGAAGGGGAGTGAAGGAGTGGTAATCGAGGGAGATTGGGGAAAATTGCGGTTGGTTTGGAATATGGGAGGAAAGCACTTGGTTTTCACTCAGATTCGCAGGATGTGGCTTTCTCCTTATTATTATTATTATTTTTTTTCCCTTTCGAGCTCATTTTTTTAATTTATTTTGAATGATGTATTTTCTTAATGTTCTACGTAAATTTAAATTATTATTATTATTTTTTTAACTACGCATTCTAAAAAAAATCATTTTTCACAAAATTTATTTTAAAAATTGAAGCTTAAACCTTGAAGCTGTCGTTCTTAATGACTTTAAGCTCAATGTATTTTATGTACAAAACCATAACAAATGTTGCAAATGTAGATTGGCGTGCCAGCTGATAGACAACAGTACATACATCGACTAGGTAGAACTGGACGTAAAGGTAAAGAAGGACGAGGTATACTCTTGTTGGCACCTTGGGAAGAGTTCTTTTTGTCCAGTATCAAAGACTTGCCAATAACAAAGGCATCAGAACCAATGGTTGATTCAGACTCGAGGAAACAGGTGAGTGTTCAATGAGTACTTCATCAACAACGTCCTTTTTCTAGCTCTTCATTGGCTAATTGAGAAGATATAAAGCATATTCTGACGCTCACTCATGTCTGAATTGTGATGTGAAAACGCTCACTTATTTGCTCAGGTTGAACGCGCACTATCCCGTGTAGATGCGAAGGTTAAAGGCACAGCTTACGGGTCATGGCTTGGATATTACAATTCCAATAAGAATGTGCGTAGAGACAAGAATCGACTCGTCATGCTCGCAAACGAGTATAGTCGAAGCATGGGACTTGACAACCCACCCGCCATTGCGAAGAAAAACCTCAGAAAAATGGGCCTACAGAACATTCCTGGACTGCGTTCTGAGTAGATATGGTGTACTTTGTCATTGCCATAAAAAATTATGTGAATTTAGGTAAAATTTTGGTTGAGTATGAATTATAAATTTATAGAGGTTCTTGGAACTTGCGTAATTTACGAATTCTGAGATTTATTAATTTTGATGACAATGAAAAAGATGGCTTGGCATTGTATTGTTTATACACTCACACACATATATATATATATACAAGAATGATCTCCTTAGTACCGGTGACGTGACACACCGTTTAATTGGTGAATCATTAAATACGTACACCATCAACAGAGGCTAATTACCGTTGTTTAGGATATATATATATATATATATATATATATATATATAAATCTTAAAAAGTGGACTTGGATTATGATTCAATAAAAATAAAAAAATGAATGATCAAAGGGATCGAACTCGTTTGAAGATGCCGAAGCAATGGTGGCTTCAAACTCATTCTTGATAAAATAATAATAATGATGATGATGATGCTTTTTGAGTAACATAGGATTTGCATCGTGAACTTATAGTTTTATATTGGTAGCTACGTTTAAACGGATAGGATGACTCTACTCATATAAATAGGAAAGGATTGGATTGACCAGTTCTCTTGCCTCTTACGCTACATACTAGTTCAATCGAGTTGGATCGATTATATATTTTATTATTTTTTAGGGTGTTTGCGTCGATTTGGTATGACTGAAACACTATTTATAAAAGAAAATACGGATAAAGTCGAAGTTATTGAAAAAAAAATTATATATAAATATTTTTAAAAATAAATAAAAATAACTAATCCCTATAATAATGGAGAATGAAGTAATTAACAATCACACTGTTATAATTATAGGGGTCTGAAGTCTTAACTTATATCATTTTAGTTAAAATTACCATTGTTACAAACGTTAGGGTTGCATTATGATTATTGTGTGATTATTGTAAAAGGAGTATTGAATTTGGTGTTATTATTGTCAATTCCTTACTACCCAAATTTTTGTGGCGAATAAGCCCAAGCCATTTTAATTTGAAAAGCCCAACTTATTTTACGGGCCTGCCTTGATCAAAACACTGGCTTGGATAGAAAGATGGAAGATTCGTCTACTTAAGCCACCGTTCGTCTTCTAATAAAAAAAAAAGGCAATTTTTTTTCTTAAATTCATTTTCAACTACACATTTTTACAATAAAATATTTTACACATAAATTCAAAATTTTTTCCTACTTTTCAAATAATTATTCCTCCGAAAATCAATATTCCAAAACTCATTTTTCCCGAAAAATTCTATTTGATGAAAGATGAAAAGCTTTGATACCATTTGAAAAGATCTAGATTGCCGATTAAGTTTGACCTTACACGCAGAATTAGCAAGATTAAAAGCAACACGTCATTTTTTAATTATTTCTAAATGGTTAATCAAACGGTCCAATTATCATAAGTTAAATTGCCGCAGTTTGTAATAAGAAAATAATACATAATACTAGATATGTTGTCGGAGAAATCCAACTAGGTAAAAATTTTGTGACCAAGCCTGTTACTTCATTATAGACAACATGAATTTACAGTTAGATGCTGCCTAGCGAATTCTACTAGACTTTTCGATTTACTTTCTGTAACCTCCAAGATCCTGCTGAAATCATCAGCTCTCGATCTTCAACAATTGTCTCTTTCAAGTGGATTACTAAGAATAACCAATTCTTGTACGTTCCCTGCGCTTGTAGTCCAACCTCTCTCAATTTTCAGTAGCATCTAAAGTTCGATTGAGAAAGTACCTACCTAAGGGTGTTCAGGAAGTGACTGTTTTGGATTCAATGGATTTGATGTTTTTCCCCAATGTGATTGTATGAATTCAAGAATGATCTCTCCAATGGATTGTGTTCTTGAATCTTTAAGGAATAATGTGGAGAGGCAACACAATGGACACCCACACAAAATTTGTACAAGGCATTGGGTAATTATAGTTGAAGGCAATTGGGTAGTTTGGACAGTGTAAAACTCTGCAAAAATGCGAAGTAGGGTTTTACGCCTGATATTGTCCCTCGAGCGAGAAGCTAGCGATAGGCGAGTTCCTTGACCTTCGTACCTAAGACTTTATTCGTAGTTAAAATTTTAATGCTCTCCTTATAGATTCTATCATAAGCCTTACGAATATGTTACGTGCTTTTGTTTGAGAGTGCGTACTAGTTTGTTAATAAGTAAAGCACCAGGATTGACTTTACGTAATTTACCCATGTTTGCAAATTAATATATTTAGGATTCTTTGAGGGATCCTTGTCCTCTTTTAATGATTTAATTCAAGGTGAATCGAACACTTTGATAATGATTTGTTGAGAGAAGATTCAAGTTCCTTTTATTCATGGCATAAAGCCCTTAAATAGAAATTGTGGAACAGAGGCTTCAGCACATCTATGGAATGACTGGAACATTAAAATAATGACAGGAAAATAATAAGGAATTGATTAACATTTCTAAAGACTACCTTACAATTAAGGAAAAGAATAAACTATGTGAGGCCCTGAATCATTCTTTGACTATTGGGATTTTTCACCTAATGTGCGGTTTCAATCACCAATCAATCAACCACAACAATAATAAAAACCATGCAGAAAATTAAAGAACGTAGAAATTATTCACCCAATTCGATCAAGCCTAATCTTGGGGGTTCAGAGGCAAAAAACCCAAGTCTGTCACTATGCAAGAACCACCCAAGAGAGAACACGAGTTCGTTTACAAGTTCAGATTACACCAAGAAATCTATAGATCATCGGTCTGTCAAAAGACCTCACAATAATAGCCCTAACCGACCCTGACCTGGACTCAAATGTAGTATCAATTTACAACATAAAATCTAACCAAAAATTGAAAAACACACAAAATACTGATAGTCAACTGTAAAATAACCAGATCACCGACCCCAAAATACAGGCCTCACTACAGAAATATGGCCAAAAAAATATACAGGATCAGATCTGAAGAATATCCCTTGGTAAAGGCTCAAAAATCGCCAAAATAGAGAGAGTGAGAGAGAGAGAGAGAGAGAGAAAAAATCCGCCATTTGATGAAAATGAAAGAAGGAAAGTGAAAATTCTAGTCCCTCTCTCTCCTGCTGTCTACTTCAAGAATGAGAGAAAAGTGGATGCAAATCTCAGCCCTCCATTTTAAATCAATGGTCCATATTATTTCAAGCAAACACAAGTCCATGTGAAAGAGTAAGTGACCAATAGTAGGCTGCCATGTGGCCAACAACTTAAAGATTATTTTTTTCTCCCTCCAAAGAAACGTGTAATTGGGTTTTTGGAAATATTTTCACACTAACATAGTAATTAAAGCCAATATTCACGTCTTAAATAAACAACTCACATATGATCTGTCCTTTTAGTGCATGTATAAGAATATCTCCCTCACTATCAGAATCTTCCTCTGATTCCTCGCCACTATCTATGTCATCAGCTTTGTTGCTTTCCTTGCCAGATTCACTCATAATCCTAGTAGTGAAGGCAATATATTTTCCATTCTCCTCTCAAGTGGATTTCTTACTCTGATTGTCTGAGATAGACTCGTCATCAATGAGAGTAACGTTCATAACCTTATCCTGTTGTCTCTTGCTACTAAGGTACTTACTCCTAATATGGCCAAAACCTTGATAATTATGACATCTCATAGATTTAGAACTCTTACTAGATTCACTAGGGCCACTTCTATGCTTCTCTTGAGATTTCTTTTTATTCCTAAACATCTTTCAAAATTTTTTAGCGAAGTATGCAAATTCCTCTTAATTAGGAAAACTTGAATCTGAAGACTCTCTACGAGTATTCCTCATAGTGTTTAAGGCTAAAGATTTATCGTTTGTGGGTATAGCTAATGTCAGTTCATAAGTATGGAGAGATCCAACCAACTCTTCTACCTTAGGCTCTGTTTGAGCCCTTTTTTTCCTCATTAGAATGAAAAATATGACTGTTATCCAACACATCCATCAAGCCATCATATTTGACTTTTTATTTTTTGTGTGGGGGTCCATAATGACTATATTTTTTTATTTTCATTTTTATAATAATGTGGCTCAAACGGGGGCTTAATAGAGTCATATCCTTACTCTCCTCAATAGTCGTGATTTTTAAGTCTAAATCACTCGGATAAAGATCTAAGGATTTTTTTTACTATCTTTGGCTTCGGAATTCACTCGTTGAAGCTAAAATTAACTATGTCATTTAAGCTCGCATAGAATTCATCCAAAGTCTCATCCTCTTTTATCTCAATCTCTTCAAACTCAGTGGTCAGCATCTGCAATTTAGAGTACTTAACAGCCTGAGTTCCCTCATGTATGGTCTGTAAAATATCACAAATCTCTTTAGCTGCCTCACACATGGACACTCGTCTAAACTCTTCAGGGGACACAGCTATAAACAATGCATACAAAGCTTTGCTGTTCCAATTACATTCTTCTAGGTTTGTTTTAGTCCAATTTGGAATGGGAGTGGGGATTACTTCATCATCAACAGTAGAACTAAGGACATCCTAGCCATTAACAACATTCAACCAAATGCGTTCATCCATAGATTTTAAAAAAACTCACATTCTAACCTTTCAGTAGGCATGATTACTGCCATTAAAATATGGCTGGACAGATAATGAAGTACCCAACGAGAAATCTAAGGTTAGAAATCGAATTTAGACTCCGATACCATTAGAAAAGATCTAGTTTACCGATTAATTTTAACCTTACGTGCGGAATTAACACAACTAAAAGCAACAAGTCAATTTTTAATTGTTACCAAATAATTAATCAAACAGTCCAATTATCATAAGTTGAATTGTTGCAGTTTGTAATAAGAAAATAACAAATAACACCAAATATGTTGACGAAGAAATCCGACTAAGTAAAAACTCCGGGACCAAACCAGTTATTTCCACTACAAATAGGGATGACAATGGGTCGAACTCGGCTCGACCCGTATACGCACGAGCTTGGCTCGTGCTCGTGACTCGCTTTCAATGAGCTGAGCTAGCTCAGTTCGTTGCTTGCGGGCGAACTCGTCCTTTTTTTTTTTATAGAAAAAACAAATGAATGCAAATGCATTTCTAAAAAATATTTAATGAAGAGAATTTCTTTATTAATATCATATAGTAATATTTTCTATAAATTGTTAAATATTTATGTAATGAAGACGATTTTTTTTTTG